GTTTTTTGTTGTTGGCAGTGGTGACTGGTTGATGGTTGGGGTTTTGGGTTTTTTTTTTGCATTTCAGTGAATACAAGTGCCATTTGTTACATTTAAAAATACTAAGAATCCACTCCTCTTGCTGACAATCTTTCCCCATTTTATACATAAAATGCAAACAAATCTTCAGCACAGAGAACAGATTAATAAATACACATATGCTCATGTTCTGTAGCTTTTTGCTAAGGAAATGTCATTACGGCAAAGATGCTAACTGACTTTGAAAGCTTAGTTGTAAACCTATATCCCTAAGGGATGCTTTGCATTTTACTGAGCCAGAAGGACTGCTGTTGAGTTCTCCAACAGCACTGTTTCCACCCAAAATGACAGTCCAAGACACAGGCAGAATTAAGGAGTTAAATTGGGATACATTTTCATTGGACTATCAGTTATGATAATCAGCGTACCTGTGCTTGTGTGTGCCTGTGTGTACAAACTTCTTAAAATACTTTTTTTATCTGCAACACAATCATGCTGCATTGTCTGACAGAAGATTTAATTAAAAGGTTTTTAAAATAACAACATGAAGCAGAGCTAGTTTTAACAATCCATTGCCTGTGCATACCCATACACATAGTTTTGCCTGGAAAGACTATAATGATGTATTCATAGGTATGCCAAAGGAAATCGAACACTGGGCCCTTACAAAGAAGGCCTCGCCAACTAATCTCTGAGTTCCAATCCCAGAATTTCAAATCCTGCTCTGGGAAGAAAGTGGCAGATGGTCTCCGAGATAACCAATGCTATATTATTTAAGGATTTATCAAGCAGAAGACTTGGGAACACTTCTGCTAGATAGTGACTAGCCAGCGCAGACCACAGAACATGTAAACATACAGTTTAAGCTGAAGTATATGAATAGCTCACTTGGTTTTAATGGGACAGTCCAAGTGCTTAATCTTAATTCCATGCATGCTTGAAAGAGCACAGCCTTAGCCCAGAATGTGTTTTAAGTTAGTTGAAATACCCCAAAAAACTGATGGGGTGGTGCAGTAGTAAATATAAGCATGGCTGAAGCCAACAGGGCTTTTCCTTAAAAGATTTCACTTTGAGAAGGAAATAAAAGTAAGTTTTCATAACCTTTCTCCATAAACCTTCCTGGCTGAGGGTTTACCCACTTAGGGCATTCTCTTCAGTAAAATATTCCTCCCACTGTCTCTGAGAAGAGCTAGGTTTCTTGTAGCTTGGCCTCTAAGCATCTGTACAGAAGAATGGGAAAGCAGAGCTATAGTTAACTCCTCATCTGCTGGCAACCAGGGAACTCCCTGTAGCAAAAACTTGGTAGCAACCTGCTACTCAAAGCACCACGCTTCCAAGCCAAGTTGGTCTGGATTCTGTAAGTTAATGATACATCATGTTCTCATTCACCTTTCCGAAGGTTTCACTCCTGGGTAAAAGATGCTAAGAAGGTGCAGGAAATAAATCTCTGTCGTTGAATGAAAAGAACTGCAAATGTGACTTTTAGTTAAATCTGTTCCAGAATGTTGCTTCTCTGTTTTGAATAATGATCATAAATGATAATGAGCTTTCTTCCAAGTCAAATTAGAGACATGTGTGAGGTTTTGCAGAATCAATGCTTCAGCACATATTGAGGGCTCTGATTTAAGAGTGGGAATAGCTTGGCATAAAATTACTATTCACAACATTCTCTGTGGACACCTCAGACTTTTATGAATTGGATTTGGAGCCAGCAGCTTGTAACCTGGCATCATCACTGTGTGTCTTTAAATACAGTCTAAAAACCAAGGGGTTCAGAAGCTGACTCAGAGCAGCTCCGACAGCTGTGTAGGAAGCAGTATGTGCAGAAAGTGGGGAAGGACAATCTTCAGCCTTCTCAAACGTAGCTATTTCAGATTGCCAGTCAGAGCTCTTGCTTTCATTTTTTTCTCCAAATACCCCAGTCCCACAGGCCTGTATGTTCCAATGGTTTCATACAGCCATGTAATTCCACTGACTTCAAGTGTACATTAATTCAAACATTACCATTTCAGTTTGGGAAACTGTAGCTGGTCTACAGTTGATTCTCCTCCAAAACAGAAGAGTTATATTAAAAAGACACAGGAAAACTCAACAGATAAAAATACTTTTCATTTATTTGAGACAATAAAACAGTTTCTTTTTGTTTGGCTGACTCAGATTTCACCTGTGTTTCTTTTATGACTGATACACAAAGATACAGTCTGAAAATACCTTCCACTTGATATGAAAATCCCATCATCGCAAGACTACACCTATTATTTACTGAGGTCTCTGCGTCATGAATTTTAACTGTCAACAGATTTTTACAACATAGTTTTAAACAGCGCAGCAGCCATGCCAAAGCCTAGTAACCTTGAAGAAAACATTTTAAATCTCAGAAAATACTTTTACGTTACTTAGAACTTACATAAGCCTTTTCATTTACAAATTCAAAAGTATTTAATTGATGAAACTTTAAGGTAGACTCTTTTACACTGCGAACAGGCAGCAAGGCTTGAGTTGCCAATAAACAGTATACAGGACACAGTGGGCAGTGTCAGCTTCTAAAAATGGGTGCAGAAGAAAATGACAGCTGTTGGAGGGCAGGCAGGAACAGAGGAACACACCGATACAGGGTCTGGGCCTTAGCGCGCTCTCAATAGGAGCTGTGGGCCACGAAGCGAAATGCGAATTAACCAGGTAAGGAATGCAAGGATTTCCTTTACTGCAATGAATACATGAGTTGGCAGTTTAAAGGACAAGTGCCTGAAGACTGCCATTTTGTCTGTAAAATGGATTTTGTAATATATATAAAAAAAAAAAAAAGCCTACACACCTATAAGAAAGATAACAGCATATTACACTTGTCCCCTATCATTTCTAGATATGCTGTATCCGGAATTGAATCTGAAGTATACAGAAAAGAATTCTCTTAGAGTACTCTCCATCTCTCTATTTCCAAACACTAAAGATTATTTACCTACAGCAAAAAAGACGGGAGGTGCACAAGTAATCATACATTACAAAGTTAGTAGAGACTGTTCTGAGAGAGGAAAGGAAAAAGGAAAGAATGACAGAAGGAAACACAGGCAACAGTTTCTATTGAACAGGCTTCCACAGTCGTCGTCTTTTATATTCACATAAAGCTATAATCTACACTTGGCTTTTGGTTTATGGTTTACACGTAAAAAGATTAAACTCTAACTCGTGAAGGCATTTAATGAAAAAGTATGGTTACCTTACAGTACTTATGTCCTACCACAGCTAATGAAACTTGAGTGTGTATTTAAAATACTACAAATACTTATTTGCTGAATTGGTACCTAAAACGATAGAGTAAGAAGAAATGTGATGTGCATAAAACTTATCTCTATGTGAACGACTACAAGCTAAGGCATCCCACACGCCTGCAGTCCAAAAAGGGGGGGACGGCTCGTACACGGAAATGGGACCGAGCAGAAGTCAGACTTTAATGCAGCCGCGTACCGACTGCACGCACAATCATGATTCTCGTATGCTGCGGCAGTCGCGGTTCTCATTTCTCATAGCCTAACTTCAGCCTGAACCATACAAGTTGTCCAAAACAGAAGAATTAGTTACTGGACGAATATTCACCCCCTGGAAGTTAAACACGTGCTTGTTTCGGGCAGTTTTGTACCTTCAGCCCGCAAAACGAGCCCGTGACTCAGTGTGAAAAAGTAACCCCCATGGTAAGGCGGACTCCCAAGAGCCAAACGCATCCGGAGGTGTGAAGAAGACCAAAGACGTCGAGGTGCCAGGAGGGTGGGAGAAAAAAAGAAGTCAGAAGCACTTAGAAGATGGCATAAAACGCACTGGCACGCTGCCGGGACTCCCAGCGCGCTCCGCTCACGGTCACACTCCCTTTCAGCCCCTTCCCCCGAGAGGAGCCTCTCCCGGTACCGCTCGCGGCTGCTAACGGCTCGCTGAGGGCGGCAGGCGCGGCCGTTGCTTGTCCCAGCAGCTCGAGCACCGCCAGGCAAGCCCCTGCCCAGCCTCGGAGCCCTCGCCCCGCAGGAGGCGCCGGAGCCGGCGTCCCCGGCTCGCTCAAGCGTGCCCACGGCCCGGCCCGAAGGGCGGAGGCGGGCTGGGGCTCCACAAGGAGGAGGCGGCCGCTGCGGC